AAAAAAAAACTCAGAACAGGTAGATAAGGTCCCATGAGAAGAAAATCTAAAGGAACAAGTAGGTTGGGAGAGCAGGGAATTTCTCAAGGATACAACATTGAAGGCACAATGTAAACTATTTTGATGCAAAGAAAAGATAGGAAGAATAATAAGAGGTCTATATGACTGGATCAGAAGCTCTTTAATACCTGAAAATCAAAAATGAATCCTATTAAAAATGGAAACATGGACAAATTGCTAAAGATGAGTACAAAAGAATAGCACGGGCATGTTGGGAGAAAATTAGAAAGACTAAGGGGGAAAAATTGAGTTACACCTGTCAAAATATATAAAAGATTATAGGAGCTTCTATAAATACATTAGGAACAAGAGAAAGACAAAGAAAGTGTAGGTCAAATACTTGGAGGGAAAGGAGAGCACAATAACAAGAAGGCTGAAGTGTTTAATGTCTGTTTTGCTTTTTTTTTTTACGAAAACACTAAAAGAGAATTGTAACAGCATGCTTAACACAATTAACAGAAACAAAAAGGGAGAAGAACACAAATCAGAATAGGAAAAGAACAGGTTAAAGAATATTTAGCTGAGTTAGATAGGCCTGATGAAATCCACCTTAGGATACTTAAGGAACTAGCTGAAACAATCTTGGAACTATTAGTGATAATCTTTGAGACAGGGCCAGCTCTAAATTTTTTGCCACCCCAAGCAAAAAAAAAAAAAAAGTGCCGCCCCGCCGTAACAACCCCCTCCCCCTGAGCGCCGCCCCGCCGAACCAAAAACAAAAAAACCCTGAGTGCTGCCCCACCACCCCAAGATTGGCCGCCCCTTAGAAGGTGCCGCCCCAAGCACGTGCTTGGTCAGCTGGTGCCTGGAGCCGGCCCTGTTTTGAGAACTCATGGAGAACAGGTGAGGTCCCAGAGGGCCGAAGAAGAGCAAACATAATACCTATCTTAAAAAAGGGGAACAGAGGGAGGGAGGGAATTATAGACCATTCAGTCTAACTTTGATACCTGGAAAGATACAACAAATTATTGAACAATCAATTTCTAGTACCTAAAGGATAATGGGGTGATAAGTAATACCCAATATGGATTTGTCATGAACAAATCATGCTAAACCAACTTAATTTCCTTCTTTGACAGCTCACTGGCCTTGTGAGTTGGGCGGGGGGGAAGAGATCAGTTTTTCTCCATGTCCACTGAAGGTAGGACACGTAGTGATCGGCTTGATCTACTGTAAGGGAGATTTCGGTTTCTAACCGAAAGGATAATTATGTACTGGAATAGGTTGCCAAGGGCCATTGTGGAATCCCCATCATTGAAAGTTTTTAAGAAGATGATAGATGAACACCTATCAGGAATGGTTGAGCTATATTTGGTCCTGCCTCAGCACGAGGGGATAGACTAGATGACCAGACAAGGACATTTCCAGCCCCACATGTCTATGACCTACACAACAGGTACAGGATGACACTGCCAATGTGTCTTAATCCCAAGCTAGGGAGGGGAGGCTAGCTCAGTCACAATAAGTAATTCAGTATTTCACCTCTCTGCTGAGGCTGCCAACAAATTTGCCGACCAGTGCCAACAGCAGTTTTCTTCCCTAAAATGGACACCTGTCCCATGGGGACTCACCTGAGGCTATCAACTCATTTCATGTAGGTCACTGATCAACCATCAGAAGGTAATTGTTTTCTTACTATCAAGGTGGCTGGATTTGCACTAGTAACTTAGAAGTGAACAGAATGTTATTGGGATGACAGCAGCCCAACATGTTGCCAGTTACTGCACGCATGCATTTTTTGTGTTACAACACATGATTCACACACACGATGGGGCGTTATGTCAAATCAGAGAAATTTCAGAGTTTGTTAAAACTCTTATTCCACTGCAGTTAAAATGAAACAAACACGTACTACTCCTCACTCATCAGCGTTTTCAGCCCATCAAAATGTTTCATCCCTTGACATTCCAGACATTTTTGTTTTTTTATTCTGAAACTCTCACCTTATGCTGTGAAAATAAGAGCATTCTTTTTTCACACACACACGCACACACAGAGTCCCTATATTTCCCTTTGTGTGATATCTTAGTGAACTGTTTAGAGCTATACTTTACCAGAACCAAACTACTTGCAAAGCTCATTTAATTCCACTTCTGACCATCCGGAGGATGTAGAGCGTGATACATAGATAACCATCTTCTTGCTGCTTCCAGAGCTGGCTTCTTCCTCAGGGAACAAGAGACGGAGTTCTAGTTTCAGACTGGGCTGTCTGCACACCTTTGCATCTCCTTGTTTCTTATATCAACACAAAATGGATAGTGGGGATCTGTTGTAATTGCAAAGCAGCTGTTCTGCCTCCCGGGGTTTGGTGTGGATTCTCTGCATATTTGCACAGGAGGGACAGACACATGGGGGGACAGTGGAGAGTGGGGAGGAGGAAGGAAAGATATTCTGCCATTACACTTATTGACATCTACAAAGGAATCAGCTCTGAGACAAGGTGGAAGAGGAAGAGAGAAAGCAAATTTTGTATTAGTTTAATAAAACCTGATTAATTTTTGCCTTTCAAACGGCTATGTTCACTTCAACATTTTTCACATAGCCAATGGCTGACACCAGATATCTATGGATCCTACAACATCCGTGGCCGCCCCAGTCTCTGCATCCAGTTGTTAGAGGCCCACAAAGAGGCAGGCCTTGAAGTGGGTAAAGTCTATAGCACTGTATGGTCAGAACTGTGAAAAACTCAGTGTTTTTGCTTCCCAGGGTTTCATGGGAACCATTTTGTAGGTTTTGGCTTGGGTAAATTTGCACCCATGGATTTTGCTTTGAATTTTGAACAGACACAGAAAAACACATTGCGAAAGACACATTTGAAATTGCCAACCTCAGCCAGGATTCAGTCCAAACCACAGACCTTGTCATGGTTTCTAGTTCAACCTGTAATCATAAATGAGCTCAAGTTCACTTGAAACTTAGCCCAGGTTTGGAGAGAGATTTGTGAACCTTGGCAACTCTGGCCCAAGCTTCAGATTTCCTACAGAGCCGTAGGTGTGAGTTTCCTTGTTTTGATGTTCTCAGGTGGCCTAATGACCTCAAGCCACTCTTGACTTTGGCTCTGCTGCCAAAGAGAGCTGCTTTTGTGCAAGGGACTTGCCCTCCAGATGCTAGAATGTATTTTCAAATCCCAAAGCCTCTGAAGCCCATTGCCTTGTTGTTTTCAAAATGGCACTCATGACCCAAAGTGCATTTAATGCCACTTAAAGAAACACCTACACTTTTTGTCCTGTCCCCCTCTTTAAATGCAATAAAATGCTTCAAGCACTGGTGCTGGTACAAGAATATCTGCACTTAACTCAGGTGATTCAGTGCACTAGGCCTCTCACTGCTCCTGAGGCACGCGAGTGTCCTGGGATAGCCACACACCTTGTTGCGTGTCAGTGCTTGCTTAGATGCGAGCATGAGTTAGTTGATTGTTACATTTATTTGCTTTCCTACCTGTCAAAACAATACAAGTTCCTTCCTGCTACCTCTCAAGTGCCATCAGCTGAGTGCATTGAATCGATTTCAGCTAGCTAACTGCATTTCATGTTTGGCCAAAACCATACTCTGTTCTTGTTTTCTCAATTCTTCTAAATCCATACACTGTATTTAATCTATAAGACATAACAGGCAGCGGTGAATGAGCGATTATTGCACTCCTCATGTATTGTCATAAGGTATGAAGCTGAAGGCCAAATTACTTTACCACCTGAGAGGCACAATAATTCCCTAGAAATGTATGGCTGAGAATGTCTTATTACATTATGAAATAGAATTTTGCAGATATAATACAAATAGGGAAAACAGTTAGTGCATTAGCTGGACACTATTGATATTGATAACATCACTGCCAGCCAACACAAATACTCCTTTCTAAAACTGTTTCATAATATGAATATAACTAAGTATGAAAGCAATACAATCTAGGATGATTATAAGGCTCTGCTTTGCTTTACAGCTTTCATTGAAGATTCTCAAGGCAGTTTATAAACATTAGTTAATTGAGCCCCACAACATCCTAATATTAAAACAAAACAAAAAAACAAAACAAAAACAAAAAAAGGAATTCAGGGACCTGTTTTGCAGATGGGGAAAAAGAGGGCACAGAGATAATGAGTGACTTTGCCAAGGTTGAGAAGCAAACCTGCAAAAGTCACGTATAGAAGTTAGGAGTCATCCCCCACCACTTGCCAAAACTGCTAGTCACATTTCTATAGTATAAGTGGAACTGGAGGAGGGTCAGGTAGGATCTAGTTTGCTGTGCCAACAGGGGCTAGTGAATGCAGGCTGATACCAGCCAAACACAGGCCTCTCTGAAAGTAACACAGGCCTTTATGCATGCTCAATAAAGATTTCTTTCCTACAACTCTACCTGCCTGCTGTATTACTTATTGCCAATGAAACAAATCCTTTCCAACCATAGGCTCTGTGATACAACCTCTCCTCCACTCAGCTTAATTATTATTATTGCTATTATGTCACATTTATATCTGCAGTAGTAGCTAGAGACCAATCAGGTCCAGACTGCATTATGTATGTATGTAGGGCACCTAGCACATGACACTAGCCACTGACCCAAACAGCTTCCCATGAATCAGAATCCAGAGATAGAAGGAATAAACTAAGGCATTAACTAAGGCTTTCATTCTATTTAATTATTTTATTGGCCTCTCTAATTGTGTATGGTTCTATTTTGGTTAGAGACCCTTTCCCAGATACAGTGTTAGCACTATCCCAGAGCAGATGGTGTTCAACAAGTAGGGAGAAACTAATAGAAATGAAGACTTTTGGCCTACCTGATTCCAAGACAGGACAAATACTTCTGTCACTTACATTGGCAATAAATGGAGTGATTCCACTGACTTTAATGGAGGTACCCCAATTCCCAATGTGTAACAGCATAATTTGACCCAGCAATGTTCCATGTTGGGAAGCACAAGTTATGATTTTAATTGATATTCCTTTAAACAATTATTATAGAAGACGAAGACGGAAGAGGTTTTCCCTTTTATACTAAACTCCCTTTTTGTTTTCCAGTGCAGCTCTATCTTCTGTTACTCAGGGGTTGAATTTACCTAATTCCAGTCTAGTATGGACAGTAATGCAAACTACTTATCCTAACTTGAAACATAGCTTGCTTATACACAGCTTCTGCTTCCCTTGCCACTTGTTGTATTGTGTGCCTCAGTCACTCACTTAACCAGTGGCACATGCATATTAAAAAAGTGCTAAACAACAATTACATTGGTACACCTTGGGGAGGGGGAGACAAGGATTGGAGGCATTTTTCATTCATTTAATTAGCCCAACAATGACTATGACTTTTGAGATTTTTCTTTCTGCAAAAATGTCACCTCGGGTTAAAATAGAACCTAAAACTGGGTTTTGGTATAGATCAGTATTTACAATGCACCAAAAAAGGGGTTTATAACATGACTGCTAATACAGAAGCTATTGATCATTGTTGTATTAGTTTTGATGGAATATATAGGCCCAAAGAGTCAAATGCATTAACATCACTGTCCAATATTAAACAAGGATTGGATTCAGTATACAGAGATTTCAGGCTGCTTAGAACTGGAGCAATTGTTATTAAAAATCTTTAAAATTTTGTTTTAAAGATACTGAAAGGGGGAAAAAGAGTTAAAGCATTTGAAATGTAAAGTATTAAGAAAGGCTTTCCTTTTTATAACATCCCTTGTTCCCTTTTCATTTGTGTGTACAAAGTTTTAGAAGGAAAACCCCTTTCGTTGACAGTATTTTAGATATTAACAACTGTCCTTTTGGGATGGGGGCAGTGGGGGAGAGAAGCAGTTAATTGAGATGGACCACAGCTGCTGCTGTTAAAGTCCAATCCTGTTTCCTAGATGACTAGAGACAGACAGACACAAAAGGCGAGAGAAAAGAACAGCAAAGATAGAAAATGAAGCTTACATTGTTGACTCTCTCTTGCAGCCTCAATAGTGGAAAAACACCAGGCACAGCACATGGTCTTATCAGCCTCTCTAAGACCTGGCAAACCCATACTAATGTCAGGCTGTTTAGAGCACGGCTTTTAGTCGCCTTGCTGATCATAAGCTTACAGCAAAACATACAGTCTTGGCCTGTTAAGCCAGACTTGTTAGGCAGAAGTCAAAAGGAAAGGGATAGCAAAGAGGAGACATTAGAGGGAAAGAAAAGACCATACAAGGCGGTGAGGTGTGGGGCAACAAAGTCTCACATCTCAGATGATGTTTGGGATTAGCTGGAGCCAGTGGCAATCAGGGGTGCTGGAACAATTTGTATAGGGGGGTGGACTACTGAGAGCCATTGAACCAAATTCTAAGCCCTATGTATGATGGAAACCACTTCAAGCCAGGGGGTGCTACAGCACCCCAACACTTTTAGTTCTAGCACCTATGATGGCAGCGTCAGTGTCATTTGGGTCCCTCTGGCTTGATCAGGTCAGGACATCTCAGCATTAGAAAGAAGGCACAAATGTGTCACTCTGGAACCTGGGTTCCCAGGAGATGGTAGAGCTAGTAATCACGATGTTGAAGCTCACCTGCTCACGCCTTCCCTTTCTTTTAGTCAGCCAGTGCCAAGGTAGACTTTCCATCCCAAAGTCTCTCTCTCTTTCTAAGGATCTCAAAAGGGAGTAATGGACCGAATTACTCATCCCTTCATTATTTTATACACCAATTAAGCCTAATTTCCGACACACCAATTTTGGTTCATTTATTTCTAGTCCCCCACTTTTCTTTTTTACCAGGTACGATCTTAACACAGTCTTTGAATTATACTAGTAGCCCCTTTTGTTTAGGTTAATTCAGTCTTTGTCCCCCTTTTTTGCACCTTTTCCCATCAACATTTGTTAATACAGGTTACTGTGACATTTTATGAACTTTCATGCATTTTTCACAGTTGAGCACACAGCAGGGTAAATTTGTAGGCCCAATTATCATACCACCACATGGGCCAAATTTGCAAAAAGTAGCTCCCCCTGCTGTATGTGTGCGCACACCCCATGCAAACTCAATTACATTTGCATGTGGAAACAGGATATTGCATACAAATGTAGTAATTAAATGTACAAAAGCCATGTGATTTGAAGCCAAGTTGGAAATTTATTCCAACTAGTGTAATACACTATATGATACATACACTGGCCTTAGAGACCCCAATCCACCAAAGTGTTAAAGCTGTGCACATACTTAAAGCATGTGAGTAAATAAGGTTCCTTATGTTTATAATTATGCATGTACAGGGCCAGAGCCACCAAAACCCAGGATCCACTAAGACAGCTTACTTTGCAAAATACAAACAGGTATTTTAGTGCTCATGGGACCAAACAACAG